CCTTACGCCGCCCTTGGTCATAGAAATGATGTAATTTGAATATAAATTATTTATAAATACGTATGTCAAGTTATATTTTTATTACTACGTAAAATATATTTAAGAGTTGGGTGAGACGTTGTTGAAACAAAAAAAGTTATGCATTCTATCACGTACATAAACAGTATCGTAATTCGCCAAGTGCAAATCAGCAAATTCGTAAAATTTTTGTTTATTTTGAACAATCCGGATAATCGAAAATCCGGATAATAGAGGTCCGGATAATGGAGGTTCTACTGTACTTCATAATTTGTATAAAAATTGTGAGCATGTATGAAAAGTAAAAACCGATTTTCCAAATATCAAAAATTCCATATTAAAGTTATATAAGAGTTTATTACATTTTAATAATTTTAATTTTTTTTTTATTCTTTTATCTTTAACTGTATATACTCGGTTATGTAAAGATTTTAAATCAACAAAGTACTTCAGTATAAAATAAACTAAAACAATAAATAATTAACAATTTTAATACACTAACAATTACTTTTAAAATAACTCACTAAATTTTATTTGTTTATAAAACTTTTTATCCAGTAATATGAAGGTCTTTCTAAAAGTAAAGAACGTTTGTTTCTCTAGATATTTTAAGATAATGAAATAAAACTTACTTTACAACACACATGATACCTTAGCTATATTTCTACATTGTTGCCATACAAATTTAAACATTTGTCATAGCGTATCATCAGCTTTTCTATGCCTTCTGCACATTAAGTTAATACCAAGTTCTTGAACCAGTCATTAATGGTCTCTTTCTGTTCATTGTCACTTCCATAGTGATTCCCGGCTAAAAAAAATCCTTCAATTTTTGGAAAAGATGTAATCACTCGGAGCCTAGTCCAGGTTATAAAAAGGATGTTCAAAAACTTCCTACTTAAACTGCTGAAGCAAATTCATCATCAGCACAGCAGCATGCGGACGTGCATTATCCTGAATTACACAATGCCTCTAGACAACATTTTTGTCTACCATTTGTTTCAAACTGAAGCTTCATTCATCACATTACCACAAACCTTGGTTATCTGTCTGTAAATTTTGATAGAGTGGCCTTTTTTTTTGTATTCAAAAAGTGTATTACACTACAAACCTCACACTTGGCGGAATCTTTAATTTTGTCACACATTTCAAAGTTACACTGTAAACAGTAAATGATTGCTGTGGCTCACTGTTAGCATCAGACTGGTGCAAAAACATGGGAAGGTTCATGACACAGAAGTTGAGAATGATGGGAGAACAATGGCTTGCCAGATCAAAACGTTCTTTTCTTTTAGAATGACCCTATTTCTATTACCTAATATACAGACAAATAATTTACATGAATCAATGGATATAAAATTTTTAAAACAATCATTCTGTTATTATTACCAGAATTCCATCACATGACAAAGTATTCTTCCTTTAATCTGAGCCTATGATTTAAAATGCATATTTTATAATACATTAAGATTCAACATTTATTTATTCATTCACATAACTCAGAAATTCCTATTTCTGGTTATTTTAATTTCTTTAAAAAGAATTAAAATATACACCTATGAATTAAATTAAAATTAAAATTTGTATCTATCAATTTTATGAAAAATTCAGATTAATCAGTTACATAAAACTTATGTTAAATAATGGATAGTTTTCATATTTTGCTTAGAACAAATGTTTGAAATTCTATTCACAAATATATTAAAAACACTATTTGGTCAGCATTTATTTAAATGCCTTAATCTATGACTCTTATATAAGTTCCTATACCTGAATCTTTCGTGACAAATGTCACACACAAAAGGCTTCTCTCCAGTATGAATTCGTGTATGACAAATAAGTGATTCTCTTTGAGTAAACCTTTTCTTGCAGATGTCACACACAAATGGTTTCTCTCCAGTATGAACTATAAGATGTCTTTTCAAATTACCTCTGTTTTTAAATATCTTTAAACAGATTTCACAGGTAAAAGATTTATCTATAGTTTGAGTTTGAGCAGGTATCCTATTGTGAATTTTAAGATGTTTCTTTAGACTATTTTTTCGTGGAAATCTTTTCTGACATATATCACACCAAAAAGGGTTCTCTTCTAGATGTAATAGAAAATGTCTTTTTAAGTCTTCTTTTGAATTAAATTTATTATTACATATACTACAGATTAATGTTTTATTTTCATCTATTCCTGGAAAAAATAGAATAAATAATTAAATCATTATAAAATCTGAAATTAAATGACTTTAGATAAGTTTTATTACATTTTTCAACAAAGTAAAATTATAAACTAGAACACTTTCCCTTCTTCAGCACAATTTTTTATAAACTAGTGCTTTGTGATATTTGAAGATAGTATAATTTATTTTAGCCTATAAATATTAAAATTTTTAGTATTTAACAATTAAAAATTCTGAATAATGTACAGTTTATTTGTACAGAATGTACAGAAATTTTATTTTATTCTTATATGTTAATTAATGACTAAACATAAAAATTGATCATATCTTCATCAATACACAAAAAATAAAAACAACGGACAATTATTTACTGTGACATTGTTACAATACGAAGCTGCAATTTTTAATCACCATTTTATTTTAAAAAAATTATGCAATTTCTGGTCCAGACCAGAAGTTTGTATATGGTTAATTGGGGTCTCTAGACCCAGGCTTTTCATAACTGCTTTGCAACTTAGTAGTGTCTTACCCCTGTACTGTACATCATACTTCTCCTGATAACAATAAAATCATGCTGGTCATCTATCTAGCTCTGTACTCAAGAACATTTTGAACTGAAATTACAACTTAACCATGACTGAACCAAAAGTTCATATATAGTTAATTGGGGCCTTTAAGCTTTCCATATCTGTTCTCAATTTTCATCTATGTAACTCTTTCTGTTCTTGAGATTAATGAAGGATAGATACAATGTATAAATGCATAATTTGGAAATTACAGCCCAATGATTAAAAAAAGAGCACTCTTACGCATTTCCTTTGAGATTTTATGAAAGAAATATTCTTTTAAATAAAAAAAATCCTTATATATTATTCATATCTATACAAAAATAATATTAATAAAAACATCCAAATTTGTTAAATTCCATCAATTAATGTAATGAATTGGAACATATCAACATATCAAACAGTTTGATCTCATGAGTCACATTCAATCTGAAATAGTTAAAGCAGGAGTGGCCAACAGTTTTTGACCCTGAGCAGAATTGGAAAGAAAACTTTTTTCACGGGCCGAACCAGAGGCTGCCCTAGCAAGATTTTGAGGTGGTGTGATATCTCATTGTTGTGTCACCCCATAGAGACTAAATTGTACATAGAGATTACAGATACATTTTTCACATTATCATGCATTATCAACGTTCTACCCTGTGCTGAAGACATTTGTAATGGAGCGTTAACTCTAATCGCACAGTTACTTGTTGACCTTTTTTTTTAAACATCAGAATTTTTCATTGAGATATCTGGACTTAAGTAGCTAATATTGAAAGATTAATTGCAGGCCACATAAATTCATTAGACGGACTGTATGTTAGCCATGCCTGAGTTAAACTATAGAATAAGAACAGGGTAAGTACTGGATCTTGAATGTGTAACACTGTGCTGTCGTAGCTAAGTAACAAATGAAGCAAAGTCAACTTGAATAAAATAAAACAGAATATAAACTTTGAAATTCAAACATCTTGATATATGATGATCATGCACATCATCACTAACCTTTAGCCTTTGGATGACCCACAGCAGGATGACAATACACAAGTGGTCATCCAGAGTTCTACACTCCACTTATTAGAGACAATGACCACAACTTCACCTACATCGAAGTTTCGAATGCCATCTGTTTAGTTACCAAAAATAAAGCCCCAGGTCTTGATGGCATAACCACTAAGATGATAAACACACGCGTTTGAGGCCAATCCTACAGCGTTTGTAATTCTCTTCAATATTTGCTTGAACACTGGCCTTTTTCCTACTGAGTGGATAAAGGGTAGTGTCAAATTGATTCTTAAACCCACCAGTGCAAACACTTACAAAAAATACAGGCTGATCTGTCTTCTCTCATCTCTGAGAAAAACGTTAGTTGGTCTAATGATTAACAGGATCATATGGCATCACATTCATCATCAGTTCGGCTTCTCTAAAAACAAAGGTACAGCAGATGCCATCCATCAGGTCATTAACTACATCCACCAGGCTAAACAAAACAATCAGCATACTGCAATTATCAATATTGATTTTAGAGACACCTTTGATCATGCCTGGTGGCCTTTTATTCTGCACACATTACATGCTCATCACTGTCCTCAAAATATTTACAAACTTCTTCAGTCCCATCTTAGCAACAGGAGTGCAGATGTTTATACAACACAAAATAACATAATCATACACTAGAGGCTGTCCTCAGGGATCCAGGTCTGGTTCTAGTCTCTGGAACATAGCCTATAACTCTATTCTGCACTTAAATGACACCCTATCTCCTGGCTGCTGCATACAGGGCTATTATCAACACAATTATCCTAGCTTCACACAGGAACAGTGAACACTTACAGGACATTTGCAATGACATTCTCAATAACATTCACCAGTGGAGTATTAAGCATAGGCAACCCATTAACACAGACAAATGCAAAAGCATGATAGTTGGTAGGAACACACCATTCGTCAGGAAGCTTACCCTTTGAACAGGTGCTCACAGAATAAAGCAAACAACGAAAATTAAATATTTAGGTGTTATTCTTGATGAGAGACTTAACTTTACACCCCACATCAAATACATCATGGACAAAGCTAAAAAGATGGCCAATGCCCTCACTAGTATTGCTAGGAACACATGGGGCCTTGGCCCTAACACTACTAAGCTTATTACAGGTGTGCAATTCAGCCAGCACTCCTCTATGCCATACAGGTCTGGGGCCATATGGCCACCAAGGTCCATAATCATAAAAAAAACTATCTGTTCAAAGGATTGCAGCTCTCCACATTTGTAGGACCACACCCACTAGTGCCCTTTTAGTAATGTCAGGATTGAACCCTATCGACTTAGAAATTAAATGCATTATCTGGCAGGAAAATCTTGTTGCCTTACTCTGGTGAGATTATAGCGACTTGGATGTCGACAAAATGATTAGAGTAGGTAAGATTCCCCAGATTAACCTTGATTAATGATATCAAAAAATTCAGCATCGATAAAAATACCCTCCTGGCTTATGATTACCACTTTTCCCATCAGCTTCCCCTGACGTTTATTTCAAAGATCCAGGTGATCATCCCATGTTTAGGATTTACACTGACGGTTCCAAGAAGGGTGACGATGTGGGTGCTGCTTTTGTAGATTACTCCGACTTAGGCCATGAGCATCACACTGCTTAATAGCACAGGCAGAAACTTTAGGTATTTATATGAGCTTAATTCCCATTAGGCATAGGAAGGACAAAAGACGCTACTTACACTATTGCGTTTATTCTGACAGTAGGGTAGCTTTACACAGGATTGCAAAGTCTGATAGCCACTTAAAACTCGTCCATCTCATACACCACATTCTCAGACACTTAGACAACATTAGAATAAATTTCAATGGGTCCCAGGTCAAGTAGGGTTCACGGCAACGAAACCGCTGATGTCTTGCTAAACAAGCTGCAAAGTCTTCAGTCACTAGTACTTTCAGTTACATTCCTACCTTGTACATCAACAATCATGTCAAGAAGCAAATCTTCATTCTCTGACAAGACAGCTGGGACCATAACTAGGGTAAAAGTGGCAAAGAATCGCAGTACTGTCAACCTTGGGGATGAAAGTATAGGTGAGCCTACCAGTGGGGTAGGCTCATCTACACTTTCATCCCCAAGGTTGACAGTACTGCAATTCTTTGTCACTTTTACATTAGTTACACACTCACTCAGCTACTTACAGGACACGGCAATTTTAAGCAATACTTGCATAAATTTAACCTTGGGGACAATCCACAATGCTATTGTGGTATTCTGGAGGACCAAATACCACTTCACTTAGTTTTTGTCTGCAATAGATATAATCACATTAAGGATAGTTTAATGAGAGCTACAATTGGTCTTGCAACCAGCACCAACTCATTCATACATGTACAATGTTCCATCATCTACTCACATTCATATCCTCTTGAGAGCATTCACTCCATGAACACAGATGGCAATTAGCTTTCTCTTGCTTTGTTTCAATTGTTGGTATATAGCTGCCTTTCAACTTTGTATTTTAATTCTTTTTTGTCTTCTTTTTCAGTCTATATTCGGTTAGTCCTAGTTGTAAGTTAGATTAGGGACTCTTAGCTTGGTTTCTGGTTAGGTTAAATTAGATTAGGGTTTGTTAGCTTTAGTCGTTTGGTTAGGTTTGTCCTAGGTTATGGTAGGTTAGTTTAGTTAGTGAATAAGTTAGAGTTTAATAAATAAATACATAAAAAAATTTAAATTAAATTAAAATTTTTTGGGGTCTTGCTCATTTGTCTCTGTCGGTCCGTTCATCTTGTCTAGTTTGTCATTGTGTTTGTTGCTTTTTGCACTGTCTGTCGAGATGTTAAGTAGTATTAAGATTCATGATCTCGTTCAGTTTTATTAGTACAGGTATATCTTGCCTTATGTCGGTAATTGGTTCCAGGAGAGGTGACTTAAGTCAAAAAACAACGTAAGTCGAATTTACTTGTCACTAGGCCAGAGTTTCTCAAAGTGGGCGATAACTCCCCCTTGTGGGTGCTGGAGGCTTTCAGGGGGGCAGTAGAAGGCTCAAAGAGAATTGGGGGCGTTAAGGAAACATAGAGGGGCGACGGCAGACAAATTCTATATATAAAAATTCGACGGAATATATATAAAATGTCAACATTTTATATATTTTTTATTTTTTATTGAAGGTCACAACTTGAATATTTCTAACACATTGACTTTTATTTTAGCTCAGCGTTTCTCAAAGTAAGCAATAACGCNGAGGTTAAAAATTTGTAGTGCTTTGGAATTATCTTTACAATTGTTTGTCAATGAATTTTTAATAATTAGTTGGTTTTAGTATGTTTATTATACACGTATGTGGAAAAGATTTTTAAACTTGATTCTTACAAATGTGTACAAAGTTTACCACCCCTACCCATGGAAATATCATTGTAATTACCACCAGCGGTTATTCACTGAAGAGGGACTGAAAAATATTAGACC